GCCCCACTTAACCAGCCCTCTGGTTCCCACCGAATTTCAACCTCCCCACACTGCCGCTTGTAGCCATCAGTATTAATTATTCCACCATCTACACTTCGGGGGTCTTGAACCCATGGCCTCTGGCCATGGGTACCTCAATCCCGCGGCCTTGATTGCCCATCAGTCTCGTATCCTCCACAACTCAATTCTCCAGTTGAACTGATCAGACTCATTTTGTTTGACAAACCTTTAGTTTTAGTTGAGACTCAACAAAAACGATAAACATTTTCTCACGTGGATTGTTGAAATGCTGTAATTACATGAGATATATGAAAAATGTCTCTTTAATAATCAATTGAAAATGCATGTAATATTTTTTTATAGAGCATATATATGTTGACCCCAGCCAAGTATTAATATGTAGATGTACGTACAAGACAACCTCCTTTCTTATATATACAATAGAAATTAATCAACGTAAATATAATATAGCGTTATTTTAATATATGTAATATGATATCAAACTCTCATATGATCCAAAGCACTAATACTTATGTAAGTTTGAAAGTCAATAAGCATGGGCCGTTTCTAATCATCTTCTTGCTTGAAAATACAAAAGCTACGCATCGACCGCCATCATATATATGCAGTCGAATATCGGAATTAGGCACGCCGCGAAAATTGTATTAAACAAGTATATATCTCGAATATAATTATTAATCTGACACGTGTCAGCACGTCATTCGTTGGCACGGACATGATTTGTTGTTATAAATACCCGTTTTGGTGGTGAAGTGAAGGCACTCAACACTAAAATTAAGCAATATTATTATATTTGAAAATGGCTTCTTATTATAAGCTGATGTTGAAAGCTCTTATTCAGTTACTGCTGCTTTTGTGTGTGTGTGTTTATAGCTTGCCATCACCACAAGATGAACTAGTGGTAAACTATTATCAATCTACTTGCCCTCTGGCCGAGTTTATCGTGAAATTCGGTGTTGCAGTAGCGGCTATAAACGACAGTGGAGTGCCTGCCTCACTTATGCGTATGCATTTTCACGATTGTTTCGTGAGGGTAAATAAAATTATACATACAAATTCAAATTCAAATTCAAATTCATGGAGTGTATATTAATTAATAAATTATCTCAGGGTTGTGATGCGTCGGTGCTGTTAGACTCGACTGATGATAACAAGGCCGAAAAAGATGCGGCGGCAAATATGAATAGCCTCAGGAGGTTTGACGTCATAGACGATATAAAGGCTGAGCTCGAAAAGTATTGCCCGGGCATTGTCTCGTGTGCTGATATACTTGCCTTTGCAGCCAGAGATAGTTTTGAAATTGTAACGGAATTCAATATTTTCACGCATTATTAAAGTCATTAATCTATTAATGATGAGTACAAATTTTATAGTATATTTCTTGGGGTTTTTTGTTCCTTGTTTTGCACGTACAGGCTGGGAACCTTGGTCTTTTGGGTGGTTATGATGTGCCAAGCGGGAGGTTAGACGGCACAGTCTCGCTTGATACAGAGGCACAAAAAAACTTGCCGGCTCCAACATTTAATTTGGATCAACTTACTAAGTCCTTTGCAAGTAAGGGTCTATCACAAAGAGATATGGTCACTCTTTCTGGTAAGTTAATTTTTTACCTTTTTTTTTCACTGTTAGAATATACGTTTGTGAGTTGTCCCACATTGTCTACACAGGAAAAATAAGTCTAGCTTATAAGTCTAGTGGACTATTCTTCTTAACACCAATTGGTTTTAGGATGGAACCCTGCTAAGACTCGTGTAGACTCACCCTGCTTTAGTGCGCTTCACGTCCGTGGGACCATTCACGCTTCTTCACTTTTCAAAATGAAATATATCCACAATGTTGATTTGAATGAAATATATAGTTATTTTGACATGTGAAATAACACAATTACCTTTATTATCAGAAACCTTTTTATGGGGAATTCAGGACTCCAGAAGCGGTAACTAGATAGTCCTTAAACCATTTATGAAGTCCCAGATTCCCCCAAAAACAATTTATGGGGGTAAATGTGTCATTTCACATGCACAATGACTATATTTCACGTTCTTGCAAAAAAATTGACTACATTTCATCTTTTACGAAAATGATGAGTCTAATTACCTTTATTATTACAAAAGGAACAATGATCATTTGAAAAAAAAAAAAAACTGGAGTTTTTTTACATTGATGTATTTGTCGTAGTCACGAATTTCTTTCCAAAGTACATTTGCAATATTATATATGCGGTAAAATAAAAATAATTAAAATTGATATATTTGTGGTATAGGCGCACACACAATCGGGCGGTCCCACTGCTCCTCCTTTAACAAGAGGCTCTACGGCTCCAGCAAGAGGCTCTATGGCTTTATCAAGAGCAAGAACTCGAAAACAAAACCGGACACGAGTATGGACTCGGATTACGCAGACGAGCTGAGGCACAAGTGCCCAAACCCAAACTCTAATTCCAAACAAAATAATCCGTTGGTCCCCATGGACCCAAATACCCCCAACTATTTCGATAACAGTTACTACAACAACGTCATTAACAAAAGAGGTCTCTTCACTTCGGACCAGGCCCTGTTGACAAGCCAACGGACCAGTGACCAAGTGAACCAATACGCAAGCGATCTTGAAATGTTTCTCAAAGATTTTGGGGCTGCCATGGTGAAGATGGGGAATATTAGACCCGACCCCAATCACGACGGTGAGGTTCGAATCAATTGCAGAGTGGTCAACATGAGCTGATACTTTTGGTGCCGAATCTGAGTTTGGTTTGAGGAATAAACATATATATGTAATTTCAATTTCACGTTGCTTGTAGCTTTTCTTTTCTTTAATGTCGCGTCTGTTTGTGTGTTTGTTTGTGTTTTCCGAATGTGAAGGTGACCATAATAATATATATGATGGATAATAAATGGTATGAATGAAATCGCTCTCTCTCTCCTTCTCTCTCTCTCTCTCTCTCTCTCTCTCTCTCTCTCTCTCTCTCTCTCTCTATATATATATATATATATATATATCTTTCATGCATTTTAACCATCTATATCTATATAATACATATATAGGGGCGGATCAAATGAGACCAGCTCTTAAAATGAGGTCAACTCTTAAAATGCCGACAACTCTTATCAACTACAGACAACTAACCTAGCAACTACAGACAACTAGCCTAGCTATTACTAACCTAGCAACCACAGAAAACTAACCTAGCAACTACTAACTTAGCAATTAAAGAGAACTAACCTAGCAACTACAAATAACTAACCTAGCAACTACAGACAACTAACCTAGCAACTACAGAGAACTAACCTAGCAACTACAAACAACTAACCTAGCAATTACTAACTAGCAACTACATACAACTAACCTAGCAACTACATAGAACTAATCTAGCAACTATAGACAACTAACCTAGCAACTACAGACAACTAACCTAGCAACTACAAAGAACTAACCTAGCAACTAGAGAGAACTAACCTAGCAACTAGCTTGTAAACAAATCAAATTTTTTTGATTCGATTCGATATTCGAATTTGATATTCGTGATTCGAATTCGAATTCGAATACGAATAATTTTTTATATTCGAAAGTTAAACGCATCCAAATTCGAATTTGTAGATATTCGATTCGTTAACAATAGTTATATAAATTTTATAAATTATATATATTATACATTTTGTTTATAATATATATGTATATATATATATTGTTATATTCCTACTATTTTTATGACATAAAAAGTAAAAACATCATAAATTAACAAATTTTCCTAAAAATATATGAAAAATAAAAATTATTTTTTGTATTTATAATATTTTTAATTATAATTTTTTTTGAAAACGAATTTCGAATCGAATCGAATATGTTCGAATATTCTAAACGAATCGAATACGAATCAAAATATTAGTTCGTTAACGAATCGAATACGAATTCGAATCTTTGAATATTTTAACGAATCTGAATCGTATCTTTGAGTATTCGCTTTGATTCGATTCGTTTACAACCCTACTAGCAACTACTAACCTAACAACTACGTAGAACTAACCTAGCAACTATAGACAACTAACCTAGCATCTGCATAGAACTAACCTAGTTGGAACTTGGAAGGGTAGTTGTCTACGGTCAACGCCGGAAGTCAACGATGTTCACTGGAAGTCAACGCCGGAAGTCAACGGTCAACGCCGGAAGTCAACGGTCAACGTCGGAGTCAACGGGTCAAAATAATATTTCTTAATTAAAATAATAAAAAGAAAAGAGTAAATCTTGGCCACACATAATGTACCAAATCTTGTGGCTAAAAATGAGTCTCACGTTCTCACTTTAAGAAGGCGGATGCATTGGAACCAATCCCTACATATAAATAAAACCTCATAAATTTTACCTAATAAATTATTCTACATGACACCTAAATTAATGCAATAACAAAACTTTTTCCTCTATTTTCATTACAAACCCACAATTTATAGTTTTTTTTTTATTTATTTATTGATTGATAATTATCAATCAAGAGTGTTGTCTAGGAACCTTATTAATCATAACAATATTAATGACACGACACTCTAATACACGGATTGAAAAACAATAAATTTACATCATTACGATATTTACGTCTACTTCATAAATACCATGAGTTTGTCAATCTTAAACATCAAATGTACAATAAATCTACAATCTATAAATTGTATATAAGATTAAAATATCAACACTTCAAGTCATGCATATAGAAAACATATGCTTATTGAAGTCATTCTTATACCACTCGTAAAAAAATGATTATTGATTTTCACTAAAACAAAAATTAATAATAATAATGATTATGAAATCAAAGATGAAATAAATGGAAAACCATGTATATAAGCCAAATTTATTTAAATTGTTATACTAGCTAATTATAACTTCTCACTGAATGGTACATGAAAGTCACATACTTAAAAAAAAAAAAAAAAAAACTTATGTTCTAATACGTTTCTTCAAAATATTTATTCTACAATCAATACTATGTTTTCCATTTCATTAAGCGTTTTTTATTTAAAATTAGCTATATATAAATTTTAGATACATAATAACCAGTCAAATCACATAAACTACTTTTATAACAATAATAAAAATAATTTTAATGTTATTCTTAGTTAGTTAATTAAGTAATCGTGATTCCTTACAATTGCAACTATAAAAGTTTAGTTATATATAAGGGATTGGATCCAATGAGTACACATATTTAAAGTGTGAATGTGAGACTCATTCCTACTCATTAGATTGGTACATTATGTGTGGCTAAGATTAACTCTTCAATTAAATAATAATTCTTTATTTTTCTTACTTTTTTTTATTTTATTATTTTAATTATTTAAATATTATTTTGACAATTAACCATTGACTCGGCGTTGACCGTTGACTTCCGGCGTTGTCTTTCAACATTGACCTTTGACCCTTAGCATGCATTGTGTATGAAGTAAATATGCAGTAGTACTATGCACTTAGTATGAACTAAATATGCATCATAAATGAATTATATATGTTATCCTTATGAACTAAATATGCACCAATAATATCAACTATGTATGCATTGTTTATGTACTAAATATGCACATTTTACTAATTAAATATGCATCAGGAATGAACTAAATATGCAACGAAAATATGCAATAAAATATACATTTTATACAATTAAATTAAATATAATAATTAATGATTTTTATTATATAATGAACTTTAATTTTAAATTGATTAATAACACAAATAAATTGTTATGATTGGATCTCAAATAAAATAGGTATGCACTGTTCATGAACTAAATATGCATTTCGTAAGAACTAAATATGTATCATGAATTAAGTAAATATGCATAATAAATTATCTAAATATTCATAATAAATTAACTAAATATGCATCATAAATTACCTATATAAAATGTACGTTTTTATTGTATATTTTTCGCTGCATATTTAGTTCATTCATGATGCATATTTAGTTCATAACAGATGCATATTTAGTTCATAAAAGGTGCATACTTAGTTGATATTATTGGTGCATATTTAGTTCATAAGGACTGCATGTGTAATTCATATCCCATGCATATTTAGTTCATACTGAATGTATGGTACTAGATGCATATTTACTTCATACATATGATGCATATTAGGGGTCAACGGGTCAACGCCGGAGCCAACACCGGAAGTCAACGGTCAACGTCGAAAGTCAACGATTTTTTTGCCGGAAGTCAACGGTCAACGCCGGAAGTCAACGGTCAACGCCGGAGCCAACTAATAATTATTTTATTATTTAATTAATATATATTTTAAGAAGTGGACTCATTTTAAGGAGTGTACTCATTTTAAGGAGTGTACTCATTGGATCCTCCCCTATATATATATATATATATATATATAAGCAAATCTTACGTTTATTAGGAATGTCATAGATCTCGATATTTTTGGTAAAAATATAAAATATATATACAGATATATGATATGAATATCGTGAGATACAAAAGAATTTTTTATGTGATTTATTACATTAATAAATCAGTTGCAATTGCCTAAATTGTATCTTTAAAACATACCATAAAGTGTTTAAATAGTTTCCAGAATTAGTAAACAACATTTTTTAACGGAAAATAGTTATTATTTAAAAAATAATCAAATTTTTTTATATTGATATAGATTTCACTACCTTGTGACGTCAATCTGTCAAATAATTATTTCAAAAAAAAAAAAAAATCATGGTATATAAAGATTAATAAATTATATTAGAGTATCATGTACATACTAAACGTGGATTCCTTTAAATCATAATTCTAACCTAAGTCTTAATTAAACACTTGAACTTGTGCATCAACATGACACCACGTGTGAATTAATATTCAAACTTTTCGCCAAGTAAATTAGAAGAAGATTCTATCGTTTGGAAAAAAAAAAGAAAAAATAAATAAAGGAAAATTTATACGAAAAAATAATTAAGAAAAAAAAGATAAATCGAATTCCGCCTTGGTATCGTGTTCATACCGTTGTATTGAATGATCCCGGACGGTTAATTTCCGTTCATATAATGCATACGGCCCTAGTTGCCGGTTGGGCGGGCTCGATGGCTCTGTATGAATTATCCGTTTTTGATCCTTCTGACCCTGTTCTTGATCCAATGTGGAGACAGGGTATGTTCGTTATACCCTTCATGACTCGTTTAGGAATAACGAATTCAAATTCGAATGACTGTGCAAATGATTGAATTCATTTCGATAAAAAAAAAAGGACAAACATAAATAGGGAAAATAATAATTTAAAATATTATTCATGCAACAATTTGTCAACAATCTAATCATAGGTTTGCCCTATTTCACCCTACACTTGACAATCAAATTATTACATTACATAGCTACATTACAATGACACACACGATGATAATAATTAATGTAAGAATAAATTCAAGTGATCAATTGAAATAAAATGGGAGAATTTTCTTTTCATTTGCATATATATTATCTTTTATAATATGAAATTTTTTAAAATGATTATATTTGTGTTAATATATATTACTCAATTAGGATGTGGTTTAAATGAGAACCAAGTCCTAGCGTGAGAACTGTGAGAACCGCTATTTTTAATTGTATGTAGTGTTATGATTGATTGTGTTTTAGTGCTATTTTTAATTAGAATGTATTTTATTAAAAATAGCAATAAAATTTTTATTAACATTTGTGAAAATAATAACACAATGCAATATTAAAAATAGCATCAAATATAATTCTC